AGAGCGTGATGCCCTGCGAGAGGCCAATGAGGAGCTGCGCTGTGCCCAGGTCCAGCAGAGCTGCCTGAGTCAAGCAGGTGGGTGGTGGGTTGGGGACTCGTTTCTCCCCATGCAATATGAATGTAGTGGCTCTGAAGCCAACCCCTCCCAGCTCCTGTGGCTGGGTGGTGGGGCAGGACCATCCCTTGTGGGGGTTAAAGCCCTGGAGCAGGGCAGAGCTTGTGGTTTGTCTGTTTTTCCCATCTATCTGGTCCTTCCCTGCTCCCAGACCAGCCCTGGCCCCAGTCACCAGAATCTGCTCCCCTCCCAAAGCCAGGGAAAGAACCCAAGTGTCTGGGTTCTCAGTTGCATCCCCCGACTCCTTCCAGGGAGAACCCAGGCATCCCGTCTCTGGACATTGACCCTGCAGCTGAGTGATAAGGGGCTGTCCCTGCCCCCTCTGTCCCCAGGGATCCTTGGGGGTTGGGGGGCACTGGTCCTGACCCCCTGGCCCTACTCATAGATGCCGTGCTAGACAGCGCCACCTCCCCCGCGGACAACCTGGCTGCTGAGATCTTGCCAGCTGAACTCAGGTAGGTGCTGGTCTTGAGGAGTGGTGTTCAGGTCCACTCCATCCCCCACTGTCCCTCCCAGAGCTGGGAAGAACCCAGGCATCCAGCTCCCACTCCCCTCCCAGAGGTGGGGAGAGAACCCAGTTGTCTTGGCCCTACTGTCCCCCATTTCCGCCCCCACTCCCAGCTGCACTGGTGCTTCTCTAAACCCTGGGAACTATAACTTCCAGCATGCAATGTCCTGCTAGGTCCCAGGCAGCCAACTTTTTTGGCTCTTGTCCCCAGCCAGTCAGTAGCTTGGCTGGAGTTGCTGTGGGGCATAATGGGACCTGTAGTCCCCAGGGTCATTGGGGCCAGGCCCTACCCTGTTGCCTGTTTTGTTTTTTTGCCTCCCAACCCTCCCACAGGGAGACACTGGTGCGGCTGCAGCAGGAGAACCGGGGCCTGTGCGCACAGGAGGCAGCACTGCAGGGGCAGCTGGCTGAACTGCAGGCCCAACTGGACGATAGTCGCCGTGTCCGGAGCCGCCTGGATACCCAGCACAGGTGAGAGGGGGCTGAGGCTTGCCCCGAACTCATCACATTCATGAGATCTCTGGGGCTTAGAGCCCAAGCTTGTGTGGTGTGGGGGGGGTTGAGACCTGCTGCTGCAACCGTGTCACATGCTTGACATCTCCCATAACCCGGTCTCCAGCCAGAGTCTAAAACCTGCCTCAAACTCATCTCATATGTGGTCTCTCAGGGTCCAGACTGGGCTGGCAGGGTGCTGAAATGGGCACCAAATTCATCTTATACCAGAGTATGTCAGCTGCAGCGACTGACGGGTGATGGTGCAGGAGAGTGCGCTGAGCTCTTCCCTAAACTCATGCATGAGATATCCAGGTGCAGAGATGAGGGTGGGGGTGTTGCTGAGACCAGACTTAAACTCATCTTGTCTATGAGATCTCCAGCTGCAGAGATCAGAGTAGTAGAGGTGGAGGAACTGAGACCTGCCCCAAACTCATTCCATGCTACAGTGAGCTGGCAGCAGAAACTGGGCTGAAGGGTGGGAAACTGAGACCTGGTGTTCTCATCTCATGCCAGAGCTTGCCAGCTGCAGAGATTGGACTTGGGCAGGGGGAGTGGGGCATGAGACTGGCCCTAAATTTGGCTCTCGCATGAGATCTCCAGCTGCTGAAACTGGGCTGGGAAGGGCCCAAGACCCTGCCACCCTAGGTTGCTTCAGCTGCTAACTACCTTCTCTCCCCCCCACCCTCCAATCTGTCCCACTGCCAGGCTGAGCCAGCAGGAGGTGCTGGAGCTGCGGGGCCAGCTAGAAGAGCTGCAGCAGTCATTGCAGGAACAGGGCAGCCGGGCTGAGGATGTGAGTGCATTTAGGGGGAGGACTGGCTTGGCCTGACCTCTGACCTTGTAGGGGAGGACAGTACTTGCAGACCAACCCCGGGGGGTTGTTCCCCCCCCCCCATATTTGGGCCAGGTGCCTGCATTGCACCTTGGCAGCAATTGGGGAGACACCTCAATTGTCCCCCTATTTGGGAGCAAAATGGGGAGTGCTCCACTGCTACTCCCCATGACCCCTTCCTGTGATGTTAACACCCCCCTTTCTCTTTTTCTCCCATCACCCTCGTTACCCTTCCACAGGCCATTGTAAGTACCCATGCTGCCTGGGGGGGGTCTTGGCAGGGGTAGTAGAACCATGGTGGGGCATGGGGTTCAGGTCCTCTCCTGGCAGGAGGAGGGGTCTTTAGAGCTGGGTGGGGTACGGCAGGGGGGGTGTCAGGCTGCAGGGGTGGGAATTGTGGGGGCTGGCACTTGGCCTTCATCCTCTCCCTCCTATTCCTTCCCAGTCCTCTGTGCTGAAGGAGAAGCTGGAAGAGCATCTGTGAGTCCTGGACTTGTGGGGAGAGAGGGGGCAAGCCCAGTGCTTGGAGTGGGGAGGGTTTGCGAGTCTGAGGGGTGGGGGGCAGTGGGACATTCCAGACTGATGGGGTGGGTGGGGGCAACTGCCTGGCCCTGGTGGGTCCTGCTGCGGGTGCGGATACTGGCTTCCCAGGGAGCAGGGCTCTGCCCCCTCATCTACCCTAGGCTGGGGGATTTCTGTCTAATGCCCTCCCCAACCACAGGGAGAAGCTGAATGAGGCCCATGCGGAGCTGCAAAAGAAGCGGGAGCACCTGGAGGGCCTGGAGCCACGGGCAGACAGTGCCGGTGAGTGCCTGGGGGGAGGACTGCAAGGTGCTCTGGGCAGGGGCATCTGTCTACCCACCTTGAGGCAGGCTGGTTTTAGCCAGTTCTTGCTGGCCAGGGTGTGGAGGTGTTCCCCATCCTGATTCTCCCTTCTCTCTGCTACCCTGCCCCTCCAGCAGCCCAGCGCATTGACGAGCTGCAGCAGATCCTGCGGCAGAAAGATGAAGACATGCGGGCAATGGAGGAGCGCTACCGGCGCTATGTGGACAAGGCCAACTCGGTGGGGGTGGGGCCTGATCTGTGGGGCCAGGGCTTAATCTTTTGGAAAAGGTGGGGGGTTTTCTTGGGGGAGGTGTGTGTCCAGGCTGGGGTGTGGGGCTTGATATTTCAGGCAAGTGGTGCTTTGCCGTAGGGGAGGTTGGTTCCAGCCAGCCTGGGGGCTGAGCCTTGCCATGGGGTTGGGGCAGGGTCTTGGGGGGCTTCTGTTGGGTGTGGGGCTTGGCTCAAGGGACCTAATCCTAATCCCATGCCCCCTCCAGGTCATCCGGAGGCTGGATCCGGCACCAGGGGCTACGGGGTCCCTTCTTGGGGTGCAGGCACTGCGCAATCAGCTGCAGGAGAAGGAGGCCAAACTGCAGTACCTAGAGGTGAGAGAGGCCCAGTGCAGGGGTGGTAAGGGACACCCCAGAGGTCCAAGCCCCCCCATATTAATGCCCCCCATATTAATGCCTCCCAGATGGACCTGGCAAAAACACTGTCACAGCGGGAGCAGGAGGAGCGGCTCATCATCACCGCCTGGTACAACATGGTGAGGCCTCGGGTAGGGGGAGCATAGCTAGGGCTGGCAGGGGCAGTGCTGGATGGGGTCATATATTGGGCTGGTGCGGAGGGGCTGGACAGAGGGCTGGAGGTGGGGGTGGGCAGACCTGGGGACCCTTATTAACCCCCTCCCTTATTTTTCAGGGCCTGGCACAGCAGCACTGTACCTCCTGGGACCATTCTAGCCCTCCCGGCGCCCCCCAGTCCTTCCTGAGCCAGCAGCGCCAGGCGGCCCCTGCCCGCCGTGGCCCCCCACGACTCCCCCGTGGCCCCCTACATTGAATCCTCCTGGCCTGTGTGGGAGGGGTGCTAGGGGAGGCAAGCGGGTGGGGCTTAGCTTTTGGCATCCCTACTGCCCCCCCTTTCTCTGATGGTGCCTTAGTCTCTTTAATGGGGGGACAGGAAAGGCTTAACCTTGTATGCCACCACCCAAGTCCCTCTGAAAGGTGGGTCTCAGGAAGAAAGGGGCTAAGAGGGAGCCAGTTCCTTGCCTCCCACCCAGAGGAGGTGGGGGAGGTTCTTTCAGACCAGCCCAGAGTTCTGGGATACTCTTTTTTTAACTACTGCCTGTGCCCCTGCTGGGATTGTCATTGTTCCCCCTCCCCCAAATAATCCTGGCAGGGGCCAGAGGG